AGGGTAAATCCATATCAAATCATCCAAAGTCGTTGCGCGACCACTTTATTTTTTTTTGAAATTTTACACACAAGTTGTCTAGTATATAAGAAGAAAATATTAAAAAAAAAAAATTAAAAAAGTTTTACGAAAATGTATTTATGACTTATCAAAAGTTTTAAATTATGAAATACTTGTAATTCGTAAAAATATCCTTATGATAACAGTATTTATATTTAAGACTTGAAACTTTCATTGTTTTTTTTTTATGTGATACTCTAACATATTCCATAATTACCAACACGTTTTTTAACTTTTAAGTTGGAAAATTTTGTTTTCTAAATTGAGCTTTTTTTACAAAATAATGTAATTTTCAAAGATCAAATTGACTATGAAAAAACATTTTTTTTTAATTAATTTTTTTTTCTAAATATTAACGTACACTCATAGTAATATGTAATTGTGTTTTGAAACATTTTACTCTTACCGTTTTTTATTGGGACATATTTAAAAATGCTCGAATTTCTAAAAAATCAATTTTTAAGCTTTTTTATTTTAATTTTTCTCTGGTGGAACAAAATATTTTAATATGATTTTTTCACACAATATAGTACTATGTATGTAGTTTCTATGAAAAAAATTTCAAGTTTGATATTTGACCAAAACTTACCAAAAATTAACTTTCAAAAATACGTTTTTTTTTTTTAAGTTTAAGAAAAATCTTGGTTTTTCGAATACTTAAAAAACTTTCTGTATTTCCATTACTTAGTTTTTGTGTCTTTATAGGTATATAAATATATATATGTATAAATTCCTCAATATATTGAGTACATGAAAAATGTATTAATGATCAAATAAAAAAATAAATAAATTATAGATGTAAATTATATTAATTTTTTGTTAGATTTTTCTAGGATATTATTCAAAATTATTTTAAATGAGAAGAATATACCTTATTACACTTGAATAATGATTTGTTGAATGTTCTGCAATTTAATTACGATAACGTCTCTTTTCAACTTTTGTATATACACAATATAATCTAGAAATCGTTCATTATTTTTTTTTATCATTTATCATTAAATTACACTAACAGAAATCTTTATATTTATCTTCATATAAACAATTAATTTTATTATCTTTACCACTTTTATATCGTTACCTATTTTACCTATTTGCTCTCTTTAAAGGTAGAATTATAAATAAATGGGTTTAACTTGTATGCTGAGTATAGATGTACTTTATTTAGTTGGTCTTATTCATAATTTTGCTATCAATTTTATATTTTATAGTACTACATTATTTAAATTCTTTTATATTTAGTTATTTCATTTATTATCTTTAAAATAAAATATGGACTGTTCTATTGGAATGTATTTAAATGAAAAGTGTCATCAAAATGTTTACCATAAGAGTAATGATCCAATATCAGTTAATTTGAAAAATATTAATGATTTTCATTACGACGAAAAATAATTACTTTGTAAAAGAGTACATGATTATATTACTACCATCTGTGAGTACCATGTGAAAAAATATTTATTTAAGTACAAATATATATTTGGATGAAAATGTTGTGATCCATTGGGGGTTCACAAACGTTCTATAAAAAAGGGGTTAAGGGAAATGAGCTTACAACATTTATCAAAAGTAAAAAAAAAATATTTCTTTAATTCCCGGTAAATCTTTGTGTTGTAATTGTTATGGTAATATTTTTGTATCGGAAGATGTAGAATGTAATTCTATGGAAATGTTAGCCAACTCATTAAATGAAAGTTTTAATGATAATATATTTATTTCGAAAGAAGAGAGAATTAATAAAATTGACTCCGTACTTAAAATATTTAATATGTCTCCAGTATCAAATTTAACAAAATTAAATTCTTCCCAGTTACCTGTTGCAATTAATAGAATAGTTGAAGAAGTATCTTTAAATTTACGTACTGAGTTTGAGGCCATTTATAATTTTTCAATTAATTCTAAAAATATAGCGACTTCAAATAATGTAGAGTATGATAAATAAATTGAAAAATTAAAAAAAAAAATGTACGTTTCTTCAAAAGAAGATAAGGTGAAAACAATCAGTTTATTGCCTACTTGATGGTCACGAGAAAAAATTTGCAGCGAATTTAATGTCTCAGAATATATGGTCCGAATTACTCGTGAGTTAGTAAAAAATGAAGGAATTTTACCTCAATTAAAAAAGAAATCAGGAAATGCCATCAGTAATGAGATAACTGAGCGTGTTTTAAAATTTTACGATGATGACGAATATAGTAGGATCTGCCCTGGTAAAAAAGATTATGTCTCTATTAAAAGTAACGGTTCCAGTGAGCAATACCAAAAACGACTACTACTGTGTAATTTAAATGAACTATACGTAAAATTTAAGATAGTTAATCCAAATTTGAAAATTGGTAGATCAAAATTTTGTTCTTTAAAACCTAAGTGGTGTATATTAGCTGGGTCTTCGGGCACACATACCGTGTGCGTTTGTGTTCATCATCAAAATGTGAAACTTATGATAGAAGGAGCTTCATTAAAATATGAATACAAAAATTACTTGAGTTATTTGGTATGTAATATTGATAACTATAATTGCATGATGGGAGAGTGTGATATTTGTTTAAATAGAAGTGACTATTTAAAAAAAAAACCTCTCATATGAGTTAGACGATGGCCCAGAAAACATCATTTTTAGACAATGGGTTAGCACTGATAGAGCTAATTTAGTTACTAAATTATTACCTGTAGATGAATTTGTAGAATTATTAAAAGATAAGTTATTTTCTTTAAAAATACACCACTATACATTTAAAATTCAATCAAGTTATTTCAAAAAGCTTAAAGAAAATCTAACTACTACAGAATGTTTAGTCGTTGCAGACTTTTCAGAAAACTATAGTTTTGTAGTACAAGATGAGATTCAAAGTTTTCATTGGGTGAATAAGCAGGCTACACTTCATCCATTTGTTTATTATTATAAGATTAATGATGAAATCAAATGTAAGAGTTTATGTATTATAAGTGATCACTTAGAACACATTACAGAAACATTTTACTCGTTTCAAAAATATTTTATTAAAGATTTAATTAGCACATGCCCTTTTGTAAAAAAAATTGTATACTTTAGCGATGGTGCGGCTAGCCAATACAAAAATAAAAAAAATTTTATTAATATTTCTTATCACGATGAAGATTTTTGTATTGGAGCTGAATGGAATTTTTTTGCTTCGTGCCACGGAAAAAATGCTAGTGATGGTGTAGGTGGTACTACAAAAAGGCTAGTGACCAAATATAGTTTACAATATGTTAATAAAAATCATATTTGAACTCCAGAAGCTATGTATGATTATTGTGAAGAAAACATGAAAGGAATAAAATTTTTTTTTGTTCCTTCAAGTGAAGTACAAGAAAATAAAAAATTATTAGAAACTAGATTTGTACAAGCGAAAACAATACCAGGCACAAGACAAATACACCGTATAGTACCACTACAAAAAAATTTGATTAGATGTTTTAAAATATCAAATTCAACCATATTTCAAGACATTAAATGTTCTAAGTGATAATCACAACTGTTTAATATATTTTTTCTCATTCTTTTCATATACAGTGGACGCCGCTTATTGGACTCACGGTTAATTGACTCATTCGCTTATTAGACTCAAAACGCCTAGTCCCTATTTACACATATTCTAACACACAGCAAAAAATTCGTATATTCGACTCACACACCGGTTAATAGGGTCATTTGAAAATTAGATAAATAAAAATAATGTGTACATACATTGAACAAACGTGCTATAAATACGTTATAAGTCGGTCCTAGTAAAATTGCTTTTATCGTGGAGATAAAATAAATTACCTTTTCACGATAAACGAAGCAGTCTTTAATGTCAATTAGTACGACAGGTAGTGTATGAATAGACGTCGTCGTGTACAGTGTGTTGTTTGTGTTTACGTTCTCTGTAAAAATTTTCATTTTTCGTGTTACAATGAACAAACAACGTGATTTGAGTGTAGAAGAAAAATTAGATGTTCTTAAAAAATATGACGAGCTTCCGCAAATGAGCCAGCGACAAGCAGCATGTAAGTTAAACGTGTCTCAAAGTTTACTAGGTAGGATGCTAAAAAGTCGACAGAAAATCGATATATAATATATATATATAAATATTAGTGGACGCCGTTTATTAGACTCATTCGGTTAATGGACTTGCAATCTGACCTAATTCTGGCCACAAATACAATTATTATAATAATAAGAAATATAACGGTTATAAATAATTGTATTTCAAATATACAATGGCTACACACATACATTAAATAATAAAATAGTAATAAATAGAGAATTTCAATAATGTACGAACGAATAAAAAAATGAATGCTTTTCTTTACTGGCGATGGAAACGGTCATAGTCAACCTGTCAAATCCCTTTTCTTAATTAGCTCCCCTATTTATAATGTATGGTTCTCTACTCATTTATATACATAATTTGTAGATTTTCTTATTCTTTACAGTTTTTGTAATATGATTGTTTCGGCGTGATCTCTTACGAGTAAAAGATCTTCGATAAATTAAATGAAAACGTAAAAGACGAAAAAATAGATATGCGTTTATTTTATGTACGCGAGCGGTGCGCTTTACAAAGATAGACTAACTGATTTTAAAACCGGACAACTATGCAGCCGCCGAACAACGATAAGATAAAACAACAATAGCTACACTTATATAAACACACCGCCCGCCTTGAAATATTGGTTTCAAAGTAAAAGATAACAAAAAACAATTATAATCTAGGAACAAATTTCGCAACAACTAAAAACGTAAAAGGTAATACATAAATACAAAAAAAAATTAATATACAAATAATCATTAGAAACAAATTCATTATGGAAAAATTAATGATTAATCCCACACGGGATATGACACATATATATTACAATAACTACGAATTATAAGAAATTTAAATAAATTACAAACTGGCTACAAACTGTTGCCTTCAAAAGGTAACGGACATAATAACCTGACCGCTCGTGAAAACTCGCCGACGTTAGTATGGACCTTTGCTGATCGTGCCACGTTGTCATGGTCACAGTATAATTCCATTACACGCCCAACTTGCCATTTGAGTGGTGGTAAATTTGTCTCTTTTACCAACACAATAGTTCCAATTTGTAACTTAGGCCCTTTCGTGCTGGACCATTTGGTTCTTTCCTGTAGTTGAGATAAGTACTCTTGGTGCCACCGTTTCCAAAGTACTTGGGTGTAATGAGAGACTATTCTCCACCTATTTAAGTGAGTAATAGGCGTGGTCGTCTCGTCCTTTTCCGGTATGGCAGTCATTATATCGCCAATTAAAAAATGACCTGGTGTGAGATAGGTTAGATCAGCCGGATCAGAGGATACTGGAGTTATTGGTCGCGAGTTAAGTACCGCTTCCACTCTCGTTAGTACAGTTAATAATTCTTCGTACGTGAGCCGAGCTTCTCCTAAAACGCGATATAGCAAACTTTTCATACTTTTGACCGCAGCCTCCCAAAGTCCACCGAAATGTGGCGCACGGGGTGGTATAAATCGCCACTCAATTCCTTTGTCCGCTAGATGAGAGAAAACGGATCGCTGATGTTCTGGAGACTGGAAAAGTGCGTACACCTCCTTTAAATGCCGACGCATGCCCACAAAATTTCGGGCGTTATCACTGTAAATTATTGAACTTTTGCCACGTCGATCAAAAAATCTGTTCAACGCCTGTAAAAATGTCTTCGTTGACAAATCGCTCACGAGTTCGATATGTATCGCCTTTATCGCGAAACATACAAATATGCTGATGTATCCTTTGTTACATGGTGCCTTACGACGCAAGCTCGTTCTTATCATGACTGGACCCGCAAAATCTACACCACATATGGCAAATGCTCTTCCACTCTGTACCCGTGAACCAGGCAGACTCCCCATGATCGGTTGTACTATTTGAGGTTTCAGTTTAAAACAATTAACGCAATTGTGTACTATAGTACGAGCCAAACTTCGCGCTTTTAAAGGCCAGTAGCGCTGTCTAATAGAGGCCACCAAGGCTTGAGGTCCACTGTGCATCAAATCCAGGTGTTCTTACGGAATAATAATTTTGTGTAAAGACAGTTATCCGGCAATACAATTTGATGTCTCTGATTGTCATTTAACGCCATAGCGTATTTTAAACGACCTCCGACGCGTATAATATTATCCCCATCAATATATGGACTAAGACGCAGTAGTTTACTTTTTTTTGACACATTCGCATTTGCACTATTTAACTCTCTCAATTCTTGCCGAAAATGTGCGCGTTGAATTATTTTGACGATTTTCGTATTTGCTCTATCTAATTCGTTTACCGTTAACGGCCCATTATTTTTATCACATACTGCTCGATTCATGTTATACCGCCAGCGTAGGCAATACGCCGTCACTCTGATGATAAATAATAACGACGACCTTCTAGATAACAACGAATAACATTTATCGTACGCTACGCATGCAACAGTCGTAATTGTTGTTTCGTCCGTATTTTTGGCTTCTGGTATATTGTTTGTACTACTGTATTGTACACATGACTTCGGCCATTTCTCGTACTCCTCCTTCAACCAATGGGGACCGTTCCACCACATCGCATTAATTCGCAATTCGTTTGGAGTACAGCCACGTGATATTAAATCAGCAGGATTGTCCTCCGAACGGACATGACACCAATCATTTATGGACGTTTTGTCTTGTATTTCACCAACACGATGCGCCACGAACGTTTTCCATTTAGCAGATGGAGATGAAATCCAAGCTAGGGTTACGCTCGAATCGGTCCAATAAAATTGTCGCTCGAATTTGCATTTCAACTTCGGCACTATTCCGTTTACCATTCGTGCTAATAATAGGGCTGCGCACAGTTCTAGTCGAGGCAGCGATATCGTTTTTATGGGCGCGACCTTGGACTTCGCTTGTAGCAAACGCACCGTGTGATGGCCGTTTTCGTCAGTACTTCTAATGTAAACACATGCACCATACGCTCTGATAGATGAATCGGCAAAACCGTGTAACTGTAATTTAACGATTTTATTTTCACATAGTATATATCTTGGAATACTGAACTTATTTAATGTTGTTAATTGTGCACTATAATTACGCCATTCTACAGCGACTTCCTCCGAAACGAGTTCGTCCCAACTGAGTTGAATGCACCACAAACGTTGCATGATGATTTTTACGACAACTAACACAGGTCCGAGCAAACCAAGGGGATCAAAAATTGTAGCTATATTCGATAAAATTGTTCGCTTTGTTATATCGTTATTATTTATTATGTTTCACTTAATGTATACTTAAATGAATCCGATGGCGGATCCCAACACAGGCCTAATATTTTCGTCGTGTNTGGATCCCAACACAGGCTTAATACTTTCGTCGTGTCGTTATCGATAATACGCGGACCGTCACTATCTTTATTTTGTTCGGCAGGTAATAAACTACCTATTAAACTATTATCGTTTGCTGCCCATTTTCGTAAATGTAGACCGGCACCTTTCATTACTGTAATAATATTGTCTCGTAATGTTATTGCCTCTGCCTGTTTCATTGCCCCGCTTAACCAATCATCCACATAAAAATCGTTAACTAATGATTGACACGCGTCAGGATACTTACTGAATT